CAGGTTAAGATTTTCCGCCAAAAACTCTCTGACCACCTCCCAGTTTAATTTTATCCTTAACTCACTTACTAGTGTGCTTGTATGTGACTAAGCCAGAGATGACATCAGCTTGGGAGAAACGATCCACAGCAATGCCAGCTTTCCTCACTACCCCATGGTAGGGCTGGCGAGCCAGCATGAACGTCAGTTTCATGTCATCAGTGTCTGCATCTGTGGCATAAATGTACTCCGAGGAGAGGACTACTTCTTCACCTTCCAGGCAGTGGAGCACAGGAAGAAGGCCTGTTCGCATAACTGGTGGCTCATCATTCACAGGCAACACCTAATCAGAAAAACAATTTCTCTTTTATCTTTCATCCCAGTGGAAACCTGTGGTCTTAACACATTGCTTTCCAGCCCAAACCAGCAGTATGGTGTCAGAGTACATTCAGCTTTCTATACGAACAAAATGAAAACAGATGAATTAGGGTCTCTCTTAAGGTTCAAAGATGACAGTAAACCAAACTAGATAATTATAGCTTGAGAAAGAAAACTCGCTCCCCGTATTTAAGTACAGAGACAACAATTCCAGACAGGAGAACCCAAGACCGAGGAAGAACAAATGCCTTTCACCTAGTACAAGCCAAATCTCCTGTCAAATTTGCCACATAAACTTGAAAGCTAGGGTCAAAATGGAAGCCTAACAAGTCCTTTACCTTCCAATTTCCAGGGAAATTCAAAGACTTTCAGAAGTCAAGCTTTGCACTGTTCTATACAGGCAATTGCTCTCAGAAATATGCAACACACTGACCTTGACCTGCAGGATGAACTCTACAAAGTGGATACCATCTGTGGCTGCAAAGAGGACATCATCAGTCAGAGTCTCAGAGCCATCATGCCGATACCTGTGAGAAAAAAAAAAAGCTACACTGATTTCACACAGTCAAAGAAGCTGTGCTTTCTGGTCATGCCAGAACAACGTGGAGCCCTCTTGATATAAAAAGCTGATCCCTGTGCAGGGTGTCCATCTAAGACTGCTGATTCTGGATCAGAGTGTCTTCAGAGGGCTGGTAGGGTCTCCTACAAGAAGAAAATCCCTAAGATAAATGAGACATCAGCTGGCAAAAAGGTTTCACTGAAGCTTTGTCATCTACGCTCCATCTGCTTGTGAGGTGTCTACTAAACATGTATGTCCTCGCTGCAGTAGGTGCCCTTTTGGACTAACAGATGGAAACAGAGTCAGGGAGCTCTAATTCTGCGTGCATGTCGGAAGTCAAGTCTTGCTCTTGCCAAAAATACACCAGCCAAATTTTCATCTCTACGCTAATCAGTACTAACACAAGTTTTCTTGTAAACTAACCAAGTTGAATAAACACGCAACTTCCTGCAGAGAGAACAGCTGGCAACCGTTGCCTTCTTCACGGGAGCTGCATGGCTGACCACAGAATTTGCCTCCTCATCTGCAGAGGGCAGTGAGTTTCAGAGAAACCCATCCACATTAGACACGCTCGCTAGCTCCCGCTTCCCGGCCGCAGGACAGCTCCGTTCCCGCAGCAGGCGCGGAGGCCCCGCGGCTCCAGCATCCGCCTCGTCCTGCATCAGCTCCACCGCGGGGCTTGCACTCACCCGGCTGTGCCAGGAAAAGACAGCCACTCTCCTGACCTGACTGCCAGGGCACGCAGCTCCCCGCAGGAAAGCCTGTCGCCTTCGTTCATGGGAATGCCGTCCAGCTCCACCGCCCCATGCTGAGGCTGTCTCCGCAGGAGGAGGAGGAGATGCTCCCGCTTTGTGTCCACGTCGGAGATGCGAATGTGTCCCTCTGTGACAGGGGTCAGGCCACCCTCTTCCACTCTCAAATGGCTTGTAAAAACCTGCACGGAGGAGAAATGCTGAACTTGCTTCTCTACTGCAGCTCCGAACATGCGATTTCCGAAATTGTCCTCCGACCAGGGCAATTTCAATTTGCTCTGGTGTGAAGACGTGTGACACCTTAAAAACCAAAATGCCAAAGGCTGTGCCCTTTTCTGCTGCTTTAGGAAAAACAAAGACATTTACTAATGGTAGGCCCTAACACGTGCAGCCCAGACCTGATCCCATTCATGGAGACTCCTGGCCTTCATCAGCAATAGGCAGCACAAAGAGGAGGGATGGAGTTTTACTAACCAGGATGTGACATATGTATTTCTGTACAGCTGCTCAGATGCTGAAGATGGCCGTCAGCTTACTTAGCACAAAAAATCACCTTTCACACTCACCAGACTTAGCCTTCCACTTCAGTCCCAATGCAGGCTGTGTGCAAGACACAGAAGCCCTGATCCCATGGAGGATGTATTATTTATTTCAGTCAGATCAGGACATCTCTCCGCATTTCTGTTTCTACCCAAAACCATTTCCAAGTCCTTCCCTCTCACCTCCGCCAGCACCCTACCTCTGGGGCTTGATTGTTCACAGGAAGAATTGTAATATTGAAGCAGATCCCATACAAAGTGCCACCGTGCTGATTGCTGACAGAAAAAATAAACTGGACTTGCTGAGGTTCAGGCCCAATGTCCTGCAGCGGTGGCATGTAGACAACTTTCATATAGTTCACAGCATGCTGCGAAAAAGAAGAGATGTGCATGTAAGAAGACGTAATGGAAATAGCCATAATTCAGGACATTAGGTACCTTTCTCATCCTCTGATAGGTGTTATCTGAACCATCAAAATTAATTCCAGAAACTTTGCACATGCTCTAGCTACTGGTCATACCTTCATTAAATGCATCTTTAGCTACAAATCAGGTGAGTACAGGTTCAAACACTCAAACCTGTAGCAAAAAAATATGGATACAGTTTGTAAGTGATAACAGAGGCAATGGCCCTACCTTCCTGATGGAGAAGGTAAGAATGCTGGTCCCAGGGCCTTTTCTAACTGTGACTTGAAAATAAACAGTGGATCAAATTACAGCATCTCCCATAGCGGCTGAATTTGCCCTCACCAGCATAAATAAACTGCACACCTGGCCTCCCGCGGTGAGGGCACGCCGATGAAAGAGGCTAAAATAATCACCAAAATCTTGCATCCAGATGCCCATACTAAGCATGTGGTTAAGGATTTGTAGGGTCAGAGCTCTCATTGTGGTACCACAACGATCACTGTTATGCAACTTAACCATACAGCAGGATAAAACAGGGCAGTTTACTGATATTTGTAAGACACTTGTCAAACTATAGAAACATGAAAACTGAACAACAAAATCCTGAAAAAGGCCTCTGCTAGCCTATACCATATTTGTCAGTGGAGACACTGAGAAGAAGCAGGAAACTGTCAAGACTTCATTTCCACATTTTGTGTAGTTTTCTTTCCTCTTAACATCACGCTGGAGCCAAATTCAGCCTACCCTAAACAACTGCAGCCCCTGCTGGTTTCAGAAGGAGAGCTGTGTTTACACATTGTGGAACTGAAACATGATGGAAATTTGTTTTAAAAGCTGGAATTGAATTAGCAAAGTTTTGAGCTTCTTAAGCAGAGCTTGTGATAGTACTGCTCATCATTTTTCACCTCGTTTTCCTGTCAAAAAGAAGTTGTATGCTTGTAAGTTTTTAAATTAACTGGTTGTGCTATCAGGTAACACAACAAACCTGAGTAAACGACTGCAGTGCAAGAGCAGCAGGATCCTTGACCAGCTTGGGGATGGTGTCCACCATAAACAGCTTCCCAGCGTCCGAGTGGCTGTACAAAAATATGTATGTCACATCCTGGTTAGCAATACTCAAGAACAGGAAAAACAGCAGTCACATAGCTCAATATTGCACTTCAAATTAACTTCCCACTCTCAACTGCATTGAAAGGAAAAACATTTTTCTTTCTTCTATCCTTGTTATTCATCTAAACATTACCACAGAAAACTGACCACAAGAAATATTTTTCAGGATAGTCATGAGAAATCGTTGTATACCTTATAAGCAAGCGCCAGGTTGTATACCTTATAAGCAAGTGCTACAAGTGTGTCTCTGCACCCTCTAGATACCATTTACACCATCTGCAAGTCTAGTCCATCACATTCTCATCACTCACACACCTACATTTATCTTTACACAGAAAAATAAATTATTTCTGAGTTTCAGGCATCTTCTAAACTTCTGAAACAAACCAGTTTCCAGCAAGCCAGCTTTCCAACAGCAGTAACCAGCAAACTGGAAAACCATGTGGCTATTTGACTGAATAGGGAAACAACCTAAATGTCCTTCTCCCTGAGCTGCGTACTGATCTTCTCTTGCTTGAGGTCAAATTTGAAAGTGTTGATCTTCAGCTTAAACCGTAGAATGGATGAGTTTCAAACTTTTCTATTCAGCAAATTGTTGTTGATGCTGTCATGAATTTACCAAAGGGTGAAACATCATCAGTGAAATGTTAACTTCTACTATACCCATTCATCCCATACCCCTATTGGTCTCATAACATGTTCCAGCTGCATTCTGCTCCATGGGTTCCTGGTCCAGGACCAGGAGTCCTTCACAGTGCCATGGTAATAATACATTTCCTAGAAAAAGCTATGGCACCTCATCTTCTCAGTCTGGGGCAGGGCCAGGTCAGCCCACTCTACCAGTTAGGAGAGGTGCCATGACTTGTACTCAAGGCTGTACAGGATCCCACAACACAGTGTGAAATGCAAGTCCAACAAAGAGAAATAAAAGATTTGGATGCTTTCCTCCTTCTGATTTCTTGCTAAACTATGCTTTTTTTTTTAATTAATCTGTGAATTATTCTGTTGCTTTCCGTTCTAGCTCACCCTTCATCATCAACAGGAGATCTGCACCCAGCTATCGTCACCTGCACTTTATGCAAACAGATGAAGAACCCGAGACACAAGCGTCGTACTGCCACTAAGGCCGCTCCTCTTACATGGGTCATTGCCCTGTCTCACTTGAAAGGTATGGCAGGTCACACCTACCCATGTGTGCAAGAGAAAAATGGGGAAGTGGTTATGGTGTATGTGAGTTCCCTGTCTTGCTCTTCCACATCTATGAAGTGGAGATGTTTCTTAGTTAGGTAAGCAATCTCAGTCTCCTTAACAACGAGGTGACGGGTCACTCCTGGGGCTTCTCTGGGTAGCTGATCATCCACAGGGATAATGTGCACCATCATCACCTGGAATCAGGAAGACAGTAAAATCAGCAGCCATTCCTTTCAGTAAGAGATTGTCCAAGCAGCTGTTCACAAACATGCTCACATGGAAGTAAGTGGATCACCTGAATATGAGATATAGGATGCGGCTGCCATGCCATATCATGAACACAGGAGTAATGAAGATACACAACAGTCAAATGAAAAGCCTTTGAATTTTAGCAGTTTCCCTTTAAATTAAAAGCAAAGTTAAATTCTGTTAAGTTGGACTACTGGGTGAAATAAATAGTCTCTTCTCAGTTGACTTTAAGAGGGATATTTAGTTTGTTTGTACTGTCTCTAAATCTAATTTTATTTCAACATTTTATTTTACAGTGTAGGAAAAGGTCTTTGCAATGGACTTGTCTCTCTGCAGCCAGGCAGAGATGATTACCTCACAGAAAGCAAGAAAAGCTCTGAAGAACATTTTTTGTGGTGATGATGGTGATGGCAAACAGCAAAGATCTATACTTGGTTTGAAAGTCTGTCAGAAGGTGTAAAATCATCAGCCATTTGAAGGAAGAGTGCAGGGCTCTGCCAAAGATGCTCTAGTTTCATACCTGTGGCTCTGAGAGGTTGGGAGGGTCATGGCTATCACAGAGCACAAACTCAAGCGAATCTTCAAACACTTCTCCTCCCAAATGATGGTAGTAAATTATTCCATTAAATAGATCCCTCTGAAGAAAACTGCTGACAGAATACCCTGTTGAATTGAAGAATATATTTTCTATTGAACAGTGCATTGTTTTAATAATTCATAAAAATAATCCATTAGCTCTACAAGTAACTAGCGAAGCATGATGTCCTCTTTCTCACTCTAACTAGGGCAAGCTGTTTGAAATGTTAACTCGTTGTCTTCCACATTTCATGGAGATCATTGACTTCTATGTCACTTAAAGATCATTCAAAAAATGAAGCAACATAGAAAGGCTGTGGCCCTGTTCAGAGGGCAAAAGAGAATTTATAGGACTAGCAGCCTTTGCAGTCTAGCAAAGGAATTTCTGAATTCAGTTAAATGGAAGAAGAGCTTCCTTCCTCTTTTAGCATTGTTAATGTCATCTAAAAGTTTTGAACTTGTCAGTTATCTTTGCAGACAGAGTAACTCCTGACTAGCCCAATTTTTCTGGAGGAGAAAATTACAGCAGGGAAATTGACTCAGAGTGGAAGAATTATGGGATAAATTGTGTTCACAGGTATAATTACCCTGGTGCAGAGACCAACAATTAATGATAGAGATTTACACTATAATGAAAGCAGTACAAATTTGCCGTGATATGTCCTGAGCCAAGGTAAGTTATCTAACTGTGACATTCAAGGTAGTTTAAAAAGGAAGGGACAAAGAAAGACGTACTTCTGTGGATGTGTTTCATTACCTATTGAGTTTGGTCCTGGTTTCTTCATGATTTCTCCAGCCTGTGGTGGCTTGGTAATATTGAATAGAATGTAATCATCACTGGAATCCATGTCAGAAGCATGAAGCATGGAGCCCTGAATCAGGATTGTCTGTCCCTCATGAACTTCAATGACCACATTGCTGACGAGAAATGGGGGGCTGTCATCTTTAGGGAGGATGTTGATTGGAAACTTATGGCGAATACTGTGGAGGCCATCAAAAATCCTAAATACCACAAAGTCCTTAGTAGAATCACTGTCATCATGATGGTAGTGAACAGCCCCAGCCTGAATGTCGAAGACTGTGAACATGAATCCTTTCCCTCCTGTCAAAATGGTGGAAGATAATGCATCAAAAACATTCATTTCAGCCCAGAGGAGAATACTTCCACCAATAGGAATGTTATTAAGGGGGACAGAAGGAGAATGCATTTCTAACTAGAAAAATCAAACCTACTGGAAACAAGTTTGTAGAAGTTGGAATAGTAAATGAGAATGCAGAGTTCACAGCTATGGTAGCAGAGAAAATCCTCCAAATGTCCATTGCACTAAAGGTAACTGGAAATATCAAGGATTTTTAGCTGCAACTGTTTCCACTTTCATGTCGACCTCTTACTTTCATATCAGAACATTTCACATGTATTTTAAGCATTAAAGAGAATATGCTTTGTAATTACAGCTCATCACTTCATTGTAAGTAAAAAATAACCTTTGTGGGTCTTGTTTTTTCTGCATATGGAGGTAAATGTCTATAATAAGACAATTTGCACCTCTGCTTCACTAGGCATGTTATGCACGCACACAAATGATCAGGCAGGTTAAAGTTTTCCAGAACTGCAAGTTGGTGCTGGAAGATGATCTTCCCAGGACCTCGAAGGAAAATCTCGTTTTGCCCTCCATGCTGTATAGCATCAGCAGAGACCACCACCCACTCCCGTTACTCCTTACTTTAAGAGAATTATGGGCAAACTTTAGGATGGAGAAATAATTGTGTCATCACTGAACAAAAACCTATTAAAGGTGACAGAAGGCAGGCAACATCGCTATACGTACCTCTTTCTTTCAGGGCTTTCCTTTAGCTCTAGGACTGGCATTACCAAAAGAGCATTCAAAACATTGGGTTGGTTCAGTGTTCCCTGCAGTTAACAGGAATCCCTCTGCTGACTCAGTGGGCAGTGGCTCAGACTGTTTGCCAGCAGCATTAGAGTTATGGTGCAGCTGGAGGGCTGAACCTGAGCCTTCCTTTGAAGTTTAGACACCAGTCAGTGCTTGCTAGACTAAAAAGGCAACTGCCAAAAAATGTGGTGATGGTTTCCTTTGCATGTGCCTATGCAGACACGTAAAAAAGAATAAAGCACGGTCACAGGAGCAGAAATACCCACCCCTGGCTGGCCCATAGGAGGCGGAGAAACCCCAGGGGCCCACATGCAAGGATGGGACTGCCACCATGAGATGGGTGCCGGGCTCTGCCTGCTTCTGCAGGTGCAACTGGTCTGCTGCTCTACAGCCTGCAGCTCACTCCCTGGCTGTCTGCACAGCCCCCCTGTAACACCATCTCTGGGGCAGAGCCCATCAAAAATTGCTGACACCTCAGAGTTTCTGTTTGTAGCATGATAGTGGAGAATAGTGCAGACACTGAACTCGTTGGCAGTAGTTTCCTGAGATGAAATGTACTTCTGAATAGTTTCTGTTTCCGCTAAATTCCAAGCACCACCTTCCCCTTTTCTTTAAATACTTGCTTTGTCTCTAGGCTATGCATTTTACATGAATGCATTTAACTATCAAAAAAATCAGCATTGATAGTGGCAGCAGCTTTCCACCCTGCCAACAGCAGAGTGACTTTTTTTACCTAACCATTTTCCCAAAGAGAGCAGCACTGTGCTGACTCATGAGATTGCGAAGCTGAATCAGTAATATTGACAATGCAGAAGGCTAACGAATTAGAAGCCCAATTTAATTACCACTGTTTGAAATAAACCTTAAAGCTGCCGGTAAATAACAATCATATCCAAATGTCATATGTATTTGCCAACAACTGAAAATCACTTGGCATTCCTTAGCATCTTAGAGCAAAGATGTAAGTGAAAATACAGTGACTGCACATCGCCTAGGTCATGGCTGCTCGATGAAAGCATAGCTGATTTCTTTAAAATTTCGGCTTTGGGATTTAAATGTAAGTTAAGGAAATAAAAGCTTAAATACTGAATTTTTCAATACTCTTGTTTGAACCCCCGTGCCTAGCACAGCTGCAGCGGGGGAAGCCGGTCAATGAATGCACCTCCAGTGAAGAAAGGAAGGACCGATTTCATTTTCAAATTAGAGCGGTGTGTAGGCAAAATGCCAGACTTACTAGTGCCTCCCGTTTAAGGACATGGACGGCATAAATACACTATTTGCAGAAGTGTCTAAGCTATGCAACTTTCTGTCTTTATGAGCTTGTGAGTTTTTTAATTTCTTACTGTGCATCCAGATTCATAGATTCATAGACTTTCTAGGTTGGAAAAGACCTTAGAGATCATCCAGTCCAACCATCCCTAATCCCCCATTAAACCATATCCCTAAGTAGTTCATCCACCCTTTTCTTAAACACATCCAGGGATGGGGACTCA